AACAAAACAAATTTTCATGTATTATCATTTTTTCTATAACGTTTATTCGATAGAATCTGTACAGATCAGATATTAATCGATGCTATGGAAACTTACCTAGAGGTATCCGAACTATTGTGCAGATTAGTTATATTTATTTATTTCCTACTAATCATTTTTAACTTATAGCTTCGAACTCGCCATTTATTGTTCGCTCTCTAAACAAGATAGTTTTTTTTCCAGGGATTTTTTGTTAAAATTAATATGGCAACACTTCTTTCTTGAGGTCAAGTGATTTATCACAAAAAAATGTGGGCGCGACGGGTTCAGACTTTTTAATATCAGATGTATTTTAATCCTTTGTTTAGAGAATTTAAATCATATATTCAGATATATCAGACATTGATTTTAATCCTTTATTAAGTTTATATTTAAGTTTATTTTTTCCGACATATCAGATATACTTTAATCCTTTCTTTGGATAATTTAAATCCCATATTCTGATACCTGCATTTTAATTCTTTGTTTATCAAATTTAAAGCCTGAATTCAGATATATCAGAAATATTTTAATACTTTAGTATTAATTAATCCTTTATTTGGAGAAGTTAAATCCTATATTCAAAATATTTAAATCCTTTATTTAGAGAAGTTATATCCTATATTCAGATATATTTTAATCCTTTATTTAGAGAAGTTAAATCCTATATTCAGATATATTTCAATCCTTTATTTAGAGAAGTTAAATCCTATATTCAAAAATATTTTATTCCTTTATTTAGAGAAGTTAAATCCTAAATTCAGATATATTTTAATCCTTTATTTAGAGAAGTTAAATCCTATATTCAGATATATTTCAATCCTTTATTTAGAGAAGTTAAATCCTATATTCAAAAATATTTTATTCCTTTATTTAGAGAAGTTAAATCCTAAATTCAGATATATTTTAATCCTTTATTTAGAGAAGTTAAATCCTATATTCAGATATATTCTAATCCTTTACTTAGAGAAGTTAAATCCTATATTCAGATATATTTTAATCCTTTATTTAGAGAAGTTAAATCCTATATTCAGATATATTTTAATCCTTTACTTAGAGAATTTAAATCCTATATTACGATATATTTTAATCCTTTATTTAGAGAATTTAAATCCTATATTACGATATATTTTAATCCTTTATTTCGAGAATTTAAATCCTATATTCAGATATATTTTAATCCTTTACTTAGAGAAGCTGAATCCTATATTCAGATATATTTTAATCCTTTATTTAGAGAAGTTAAATCCTATGTATTCAGATATATTTTAATCCTTTACTTAGAGAGGCTAAATCCTATGCATTCAGATATATTTTAATCCTTTATTTAGAGAAGTTAAATCCTATGTATTCAGATATATTTTAATCCTTTTTTAAAATTCGTAAATGCTTCATCTTTCACCCAGTATGACCCTGCAAATTGAATCGTTGAGTATTGCAACCAAAATAAATGTTTAAAAAAAGTGATAACAAAGTTGAAACACAAAATGAATGCAAGTACAAAATCATAAAAACTTCAAAGATAAGAAGAATTCTATAAGATTTTACATTTTTCTGTCGATATCAATATAATGGGAAATTATCAAATAATGCATATTTAGCAATATTTGATTTTACCAAATCTAAAGATCGTTTTTTTGATCAATTTAGATTTCAATTTTTTCCATTTAACATTCATACAATTTATACAATTATATAAAAAACAAAACAAAAAAGTTTCAGGCTTCAGATTAAAGGGACTGTAAGCGTAATTTCAAGTGACCCTCTCCATGCAAAGATGGTAATGTCTGACTTACATTGGTAGCCATAAAAGCTTTGTCTGATAAATTATGAATTAGATATCCATATTTTTGTTTCTTTAAACTGTTTATTTTCATTAGTGGCTTCTCTGCCAAAATGACTTGCGCATTTCTCGCTTATGTAGAAACAATGTAGAAATTCACAGAAATAACACTTTTCAAGTCAGAGAAACGACAGTTCTTCCACATTTTTGATCAGATGACAGACCGAAGGAGAAGGTTTAATTTTATGCAATTTGTGACCTTGTAGCTCCTCTGGTTTTAGATTTAATACAAAAGTGATATGAGAAAGGAAGTTTCATCCGGTTACATGGTTCCAATTATCCTGTTACATGGTTCCAATTATCCTGTTACATGGTTCCAATTATCCTGTTACATGGTTCCAATTATCCTGTTACATGGTTCCAATTATCGCATTATTCGAAAAGGTACAAGCATTTATTTTGATCGTATTGTTTACCATCCAGCTAAACTATACCCAGCACGTTGTTTGCATCTAGACTATGCCTTACGCTTTGTCTGTGTCTCATGGTTTGTTTGTTTGTATCCACTAAACGTCAACACGGCTGAACCTCGGGCCCATGTTTGGGACATCACAAGACCGCAGGGAAGCTTTATGGATGCCCAGAATTACAAATTTTTAAAAAAAATGTTCGTTAAATTTTGAAAATCCACGAAAAAATGTAAATCCTTTTATTATTATTTCATCGAAGAAAAATGCTTAAAGATTGAGCAAGAATTTAAAGTTGAATTAGAAGATGGGCAAAAAACGCCCTGGTATCCCTGATAGCCTAGTAAAATCATATTCCACGTCAAATCAATTTCACAATTTTTTAAGACAACGGCAATTCACCAGAATGCAGGAGAAACAAATACAGGGGGGCTGTATTCCCACTGGCACATAGTTTTTACCAGGGGGGGGGGGGTTCAGGCTCAGTTCTTGATTTCAGTCGTACTCCAGAATTCAACATTGATTCATTGATTACGAGGTTTCGTGGTTTATCATAATAAAATAGATGAAAGTAAAATCACGCAATCTGCATTAAAGGGACTGTAAGCCTAATATTACATATGAAGGAAAATTAATCAAGGCAATCACTCGTATTACTAATATTCAACGACTCGGTTTTTCTTACAGTTTTATTATTTACAAAGATACAAAAACTAAAAAGATGATACTATACGAATCAAATATTATGAATTGAAGTTATTTCAGAGTGATGGGGAATCTTCAAGGGAACCTCTAGTTAAGGGAGCTGATGATCAACTAACTCTTTTCCCTTCATTTCGCTCCACCCTGGGCTCTCATTTAACCCTAGTTCCCCGGGAGCTGGCCGGCTAGCCCCCCAGCCCCCGTGCCTCTGGAATAACGGAACTTTCAGCTTGGCTTGGGTTATTTATAGAATTCACATGCAAACTCAAATAAATCCGTTAGGATTCAAAATAGGATTCAAAAGTCCAACCGAAGGGTATAAAGGGGGGGGGGTTATGCCTCTAGCCAGCTATGATCTCAGCGATCTAAAAAGATCCTTGAATCGCTGATCGTAAAAGATCAACAAAATCACCCATTGTTACACTAATTTCAAGTGCAAAGATGGCAATGCCCGATTCACAGCGGTACCTCTTAAATCTTTATCTAATAAAAAATGTGGAAAATATTGTCGTTTTTCTAGGTTTAACAGTTTTTAATTCTGGTAATTTCTATTTGTTTTCCTGCAGTAGAAATGCGCGCAAGTCACTTTTGAAGTGAAACCACAATTAAAAATGATCAGTTTGAAACAAATTAAACACCGATATCTTATTCACACCTGATTAGACAAAGCTTTTAAGGATACCATTGAATTCGGGATTTAATAATTGACATCTTTGAATGGAGGGTCACCTAGGGAACTCTTATAAATGTTTTTATAACTTTAAAGAAATTGACTCGGGGTTCTGGTTTTCTCAATAATTAAAGGTACTGTCTCATGTATACAATATTTAGAGCTTCTTTTGGCATCTTTACTTTGCTTGTCTGTCTGTTTGTTTGTTTGTGTCCAATAAACGTCAAAACGGCTGAACCGATCGGGACCAACTTTTGTTTGGGACCTACAACAGACTCGCTAATCCCTATATCTTTGCAACCTGATGATGTATCCATTGATAATTCAAAATAATAAAACCATATTTGATATGCAGAAGTACTGTTTGAAACATCAAAAGTCTTTGACATAAGGTTTGCCAAAAATAGTGATTAAAGCATTTGAATTTGTGGCAAGTGCTCAGTTCCTTTGAAAATGTACACAATATTCTAATCATCATTGGAATAAATTTAAACTTTGAAATTAATTGTTATTAATTTAAAAAACATATTTTTTAACCCGTCACACAATTTTGCACGCACACATTCTAGTCGATCTGCACGTTTATGCAGTCATGCACGACATGCACTACAGTGCAATATACAAAATTTATAATTCCTGTCCTGACCTCTTGCAATGCACATTGGGCCCCGCAACACATTCAAAGTTAAAGAATCATGAGGATTTTATGCCGTGATTCAGAATTTGAACTGGTTGGAGATAGTTAATTCAGCGACCTCCCAAATTCATTAAATTCGGTTCTTAATACTCTTGAAACTTCTTCACAAATGCAAGTTATTGTTTGTTTTTAAATATTATAGAGATTTAGTGAATTTCGAAAAATAATAATTTTTTTATGCATGCACAATTTCCCGGTGAAGATGAAAATTAATCTATACATATCAAAAATAAAAATTCAAACGCAATCTAGTCATAAATTAATCTGCAGTGGCAGAATTTAAACCGAGTCTCTCATCCGCCGAAAACCGGTTCCATTTGAGCGCCGGCTCAAATCTTGAAACACTTAATACAATTTCAAGTGGAACTTACCATGTTTAAACCGCGTCTCAAATTTGAGCCGGGTCTTAAATTCTTTAAATTCGGCCTCTGCTTTATTTATAATATACGTTTGTAATTTGAAGAAAATTTTTTTATTTTTCATGTCCAGTAATGAGAGGAATTCGTCTTTTTCTACCAAAAGAATTAGATTATTAAGAAGTGTATTATTGTTTTGCTCATTCCCAAAACTGGGATATTATCATATTATGTGTATTTTCAATCAATTTTAAATATTCTAATTGAAAGTTATATGGGAAGAGGATCAATAAAACTATCTAAAAAATCTATGCAACGTATCTATTTATTGTCAAATATCCAAATTAAATATTCTCGAGGAAAATGGAAAACTGTTGAACGAACAAATTTATCTTTGAAATATCTCCGTCAATATCCAAAGAATACAAGAATGAGTGAAATCTGCAGAACAACATCATACCACTCAGATCCACATCAGGTTTCCTCTCAATATCTTCATCTTCTTCATCATTACCTCTTGAATTGATAATAGTTCTTATTTGTTCTTCAAACTCTGAAACAAATCTGCCAGTGTCCTGTAAGGATGAAACCCCTTTAGTTTTGGGAAATACATCTAGATAAAAATCTGTGTGTCCTTTGCATGGAATTTGTATCTTCTCCAACCAGAGATCTCTGTAGATCTGCTCTTGTTCATCCAGGGATTTTCCTTAAATAAAATCCATCTATTTTTCCTATTACACAATTTTAGTGGTGTGTTTAGGAAATTATCATGAGGGGGGAGACTTAAAAAAGAATTCCCTAATGCACCGATAGCCCCCCCCCCCTGAATACGCCTCTGTACACTTTGATAAGCTGCACTGTCTTCTATATACACATACAAAAATAATTTAAAAAGTGGACGGTAAAAATGCTAAAAGTTTCCTAATCCTTATATCTTTGTAACCTGATGGTATGCAATTTTGATATTTTGAACTATGAATTCAGCTATACTGCTAGCTACACATAGACCAAACACTCAAAATTTTTAATATGAAAGTTTTACAAACTATAGCTTGCAAAAATGCCAGTGTTAAGCAACCTTTATATACCATATTGATTTATATACTTCTGTTTTACTCCACTATATATTGCAGACCACTGTGTACCTACCAAGTGCTGTTGACATAACAAAGTTCCGGACAAGATCTGAAGCTGCAAACTGAACTCCAGGAACACCCTTCAGAAGTGCGGCCAGTCCAAGCAGCGACTTTTCCTGAAAACATTATTTTTTTGATAAAAAATACTAAAAATAATTTAGTTAAAAAGAGAGACAGGCTAGCCATGGTATTCGAGCTGGAAGTGCAGTATTGTTATAGAGAAATGATTCAGGATTAATTTTAGAACTCTGAGACGTTTTTACGATGCAAAATTGTTAAGCAAGAGCGCAAATTCAATCTTTAAAATCATCCAGGATTGTCCATTCTGTAGGAATGATTTTGAGAATAACAACGACGAAAAATGCTAAAAAATTCTACAATAATAATTAGTTGTTTAGGAACATATTTCTCAATAGAAATTTGTGAAGAAATTAATGGTAGAATCAATTATTTCTTCATCATCATTATATTGAATTTTTTATTCTTAATATAGATTTCTTTAAACTCTTCAAATGTCGTCTTTTCAATAAAAATACCAGGAAATCTACGAAAAACGTTTGTTAACATCTAACATTCCAGAAACCGATAACTGAATAAAATTACTTATTTTCGATAAAATTTTTTTTTTTTTTTCTCAATCTGTTCCTTAAGGTCTCAAATTAATCCTAATTGATATCTCTACAATACTGCACTCTTAGCTCAACTACCATAATTAGCCGGTCTCTCCCTTTAAAAACTGACCTGATACCATTGAAACATCTCTGCCAAATTATCTGCTTCTGTTAACTCAACCAGCATTGGACACATAAAGTCCAGTGCCGAAACCACTAAAATTAAGATATTGGATGATTTTGCATTTTTTGCGATATATTTTCTTAAGTTTACCTATCCTTTTCAGCTGATCTATTTTTTCAGAATCTTTGGTAAAAGAGTCAAGAAGTTTTTCAAGATTTCTTTTAAATATTGCCAGTGCCTTAACCTGACAAGAGTCTTTATATTCATCAATGTTTCCACGAAGTATCGCTTCTCTGTATGCAGCCCGATCAGGAATAGATGGAATCAATTTCAAATCATTATTGAATTGTAAACTCTGGTTTAGATCAGATTTCAACAACTCCCACTCTGTTGTTGTGTCTGAGGTGAGCTGAAAAGTATTTCCAAACTGCAGAACAGCTGCCAACAAAATAGAGGTTGTTGTTATTCTTTGCTGGCCATCAACAATCAGAATTTCAAGAATTCCATTTCTTTCTGTTTTCTAGGAGATTATATACTTAAAAAGAATTAAATAGTAGATACGTGTTTCATAATAAAAAGCCTCAACATCTTCAGAAAGAAGAAAGAAATGATCTTAAAGGGACTGTAAAGGAAAAATGAAAGGGGGTATAGGCTGAAAGCTAATCACTTTAGCTCTCGATCGCGACCCATGAAAGTTATATCTGATGTTCCTATCTCGAGAAATTGATATACAACTGTGTCAAATTTATACGAAAATTAATATATATACAATTTTGTATAAAAGTAGAGGGTTTAAATAGATCAAATTCAGCAAATGAGCAACCAATCTGAAAACGATGATATCCCAGAGAAAGCTAATTGTAAATTAGGTTTACTCCAACTAAAATTTATATTTTTTTTTCTATTTTTGATAGATTTAATTCATTAAATTATTTACACGTGCGTATTACTTTACCAGAAATTCCACCAATGACAGTGCAGTAAAGTGGTCATGTGATACAGGCGGAGACACGTGACCAGTATACTGCTCTGCCATTGGTGATAGTTCTGGTCACATGATTTAAGTTTAATATTTTCTAAATTTTACATATATGAACTTTCGTATAATTTCAACACAGTTTTTTATCAATTTCTCGAGACAGGAACATCAGATAAAACTTTCATGGGTCGCGATCGAGAGCTAAAGTGATTAGCTTTCAGCCTATACCCCCTTTAGTTTTTCCTTTACAGTTCCTTTAACCGATCTTTTTAAATCGGCAAATATTTTTAGATTTAACTAACATGCACTTAATTAATTTACTCCCGTCTCTCAGAAAACCGTAAATCAATCAAAGAATCCCGAGGTGGCTCAAATTTCAGTTGATTCAAATGTCATTTTCTAGATAAACGGGATTAATTGTTGCATTAAAAACAGCTTTTTTACAATGGAAAGGAATGCAAGGAAGAAATGAAACTTAGAGTTTTAGAATTAGAGGAATTAAATGAAAAACAAATTAATTTGATGCTTTTATATCGTATATTGTTTTTTAATCCAGTTAGCAGAATAAGTATATATTCCTTAAGTCTGATCAGATTAACATTGTGCACAAGTAGACCTTGGTCAACTTCCTTCTTCACTTTATCATCAACATTTTCCGAACCTTCATGTTTGTTCTGTACAATAAAAGATTAGGATTATTTTAGATTTTTTTGTCGTTAATTTTTGTCTCTTATTCTGTTACCTCCCCAAAAAATAGATTACTGAATGAATGCCTCTTTCGCAAAATGGATGATGATTATATGACAACGCAAATAATCAATTTGAACTAAAATTAACGAAAATTTGAAATATCAAAGGATTACACCATCAGGTTGCAAAAGAAGGAGGGATTTTTAATTTGACTTTGCGTTAAAATCTCAGTTCCTTTATTGATCAAACCAAACTTTCCTTCCTCTATAAACACTAAATTAAGTTTAAATAAACAAGAATAAAACCAAGTTTTGTTTTTAAATTTGTTTTCTCATATTTTTAAAATCCTAAAATAATAACTTTTATATTTGTATTATATATTCTGAGCAGGGAACTCTTGTATTGTTCTTAATTTTTTTAAATCTGCAGATTACTTTAATCTGTATTCGGTATAACCTGAAGGAATAACTAAAATGAAGAGATTAATAAGCATGAAAAGTTTCTGCAGTATTGGTTTTGAGATCAAGCATGTACGGAACACAAAAGTTCCCAGCTCAGGTTTCTCTTCTCCTGACAGTTTAAATCCTATGAATCTCCCTATCCTTGGTGTTGTCTGATACTCCAACCATGATATCCTGCCACCAATCCTCAATCTACAAAATACCATCTCTACATTACTGTGATCCAATCACGAAAAAATACGTCAGAATTTTGTTCTTTACTTCCTCTAAACTGAAACAAGTTGATAGTAATTCTGAAATGTACATATCTAGGGCTACAAAAATGTATGAATAAATTAGTTAGTTAGACCTAAACACAAGGTGTCGCGTTGCTACAGTTAAAATTTAACCCAGTCTTGAAAATTGATGCACAATTTTTAAGCTGCCTTGACCTCTTACCACACTCTTAGAAGTCATTGTTTTGTTCGACGGTAAAACCTATCTAAATTAATTCTAGAATTTAAAGTAAAAAATGTCAGTGCCCACTTAGTGCACCTATAGGTGTGGATGTCCATCGTTTTAAAATCCGTTTTTAAACATTCAAAACTTTTAGACTTTTTGTAGGGCTTCAGAAGAAGATGAGATGTTAATCCTAATTCAAAATGACATGATAGGCAAGTTTGTTTTTAATACACAAAGCAAAATTTTTACTCTGATCAAAGATATTTACCAACATTTTTTTCAATAATTCAGTAAAATCGTTTTTCGTGTATTAAATGGAAAAATCGTTTTTGTTCAAAGGTTTAAGGTCAAATAAATGCGACATTACTAGACCTAGAAATTTCTCTGAATATGGCTCGACACACAAGTAAGAAAAGCAAACTTATCCGGCTTATCCACACGGGCAGCCGTAGTACAGTTGAATTTCCGAGCCGGGTCAACCTTTCCGGTCCCAGTTTGTACTGTATTGTCAGAACATTAGGTAAATATAGCAGACCCTCAATAGCACTAGCCAGTGCAACAAGGTTGACGCGATCAGACTTTAAGTTGAATTTACTTTTACTGAAGGGTCAGGGTTGCATGTCCAGGAAGCCAAAACATTCCTGTTCTTCTCGATATCTCATCAATCAGTAGAAAACATAAAAGAGCTCAATTTGACGTGAAATTTACTTGAGTTTGACGTGAATCATACAGTAGAGCAAGAGCCAGTACTACGGTCAGAAAATACTTTATTAGCATTTCTTAAAACACTGATAGGATTCTAAAAGACTTTTCAGAATGACTTAACAGTTTTCGACTCAGAGCAATCTATATATTCATTAGGATTGATAACAAAACTAAAACCTTTTTCCTAATAGTGTTATAACGTTAAAACATTGATATTTACAGAAAAAATTCAAAATAAAGTTTATATTTTTTATTTTCAATTTTCGTTTTCTTCCCTTCAATCCTTTTCAATTCTGATCTTATTACCTGTTTCTCATTCCAGCAATAGGAGCGTTGAAATAAAGGAATAATTAATTTTCCATTCAAACTCAATATCTAAGCAATAAAGTGAATGTAAAAGTTTTGAATTTGCATCCAAAAAACTTTTGTATCAGATTCATGAAAAACGTACATAGCTGTTAAACAGCAAAGGGAAAGGAAAAGATAGCAGACATCTAAAAAGTTTTATTAAACAAGGGAAAAAAGACAGATTTTTTTTTACTTTTTCAGATATAGAAAACATAAAATAAAAACATTATAATTATCTATTGGTATGGTTTAATAATTATTTAAAATATGATATAGATAATTTTGCTACTTTACCTCTCTAAAAGAAGATCTCTGGATCACTTGTTGACCGCCCGGCCGATGCTTTGCCATTACTTTTAAAGGCATAATTCACATATATCATGTACCCTAGACAGATCACCAATTTAGTATGCAAATGTAAAGACAACTGGTAAAAGTTCGAACAAAATGCTTATCTCATGTAAACATTATAATTCTAAATTTATTTACAGTGATAACCAGAAAACTCTAAAATAGGAAGACGGCTGATATCAATACTGTAGGTGTTAGAGAGCCTAACGTTAGGTGCTTTTACAAAAAAAAATTCCCAAGTGGCAACTTCCCAAGAGTATTTTCCCAAGCGGCAACATCCCAAATCTTTCCTAGCCGCAGCGCTTGGCCCCAGCCTGTTCTAGCTGCAGCGCTCATTCCCATGGCGGCCATCCTAGCCGCATCGCACGGCCCCCCCCTTTACAGCCTGCGGCGCTTCAGAGGGCCTAACCTAACCTTTGGGAAGTTGCCGCTTGGGAAATTGCACATTTTTGGGGGAATTGTTGCCACTTGGAAAATATACTTAACACCTTTTTGATGGTGTTAGGAAGAAAATAGTTTTACTTATAAACACGTATTAAATCACAAATTAAGTAAAATTTCACAATAGCTGTCAAATGCATGCATTGGACTATTAAAGTCGTCTATTAAGTGTGAAAATCATCTTTCCATGCCAGAGTTTTCAGAATCACTAAACAACACATTTCAAAACAGTAGACCACATACTCTTATCAAGGATATACAGGGGCGTACGAGGGGGGGCCGCGCCCTCCCCGCCCCCCTCTACGCGTGCCCCCCCTGAGAGGCTGAGGGGGGGCATCCATGGGGGAGGCTCTTTTAATATTACATCTGCTTGCATTTCCCTTCCTCAGGTCAGGCACAGTGGTGTACCTAGGGGGGGCAGTAGTTCTCNGTTAGCAAAAGGTGCAGGAATAGATTACAACATACTCCCTTACAGGGTGTCCCACGAAACATGACAATAGGAAGACGACTTGAAAGTCGTCTTTGGTATTTGAATTTATTTGTGACATTTAGTCTTCTATCTACTTTAACATGTATGATTCTTGAAACAATTATCACATTATAATTCTCCTAGCCCTGGCATCCAAAAAGTGGTCTGCGTTTTTTGTGCTTTCAATATTACCTGAGATGTAAAGAGTTTGGTTCAGATTTCAATTTTGTTAAATAAAAGAAAAATTGTCGAAATCTGAACAAAATTCTTCAGATCTCGGGCAGTATTGTCCTTTAGAAATCTTCACTGTCATACTTTATCTGTTATACTTTCCCTATCTTACCTTCCCTGTCATACCTTACTTTTTGTACCTTCCCTGTCATACCTTACTTTTTGTACCTTCCCTGTCATACCTTCCTTGTCATACCTTTCCTGTCATACCTGCCCTGTCATACCTTCACTGTCATACTTTATCTGTAAAACTTTCTCTATCATACCTTCCCAGTCATACCTTTTCTGTCAAACTTAACTTGTCTTATTTTCCCTGTCATACCTTCCTTGTAATACCTTCCCTGTCATACCTTCCTTGTCACCTTCCCTGGCATACCTTACTTGCCATGCCTTCCCTGTCATACCTTCCCTGTCATAGCTTCTCTGTCATACCTTCCCTGTCATACCTTCTTTGTCATACCTTCCTTGTCATATCTTCCCTGTCATACCTTCTCTGTTATACCTTCCTTGTTGGCCTTCCCTGTCATACCTTCCCTGTCATACCTTCACTGTCATACTTTATCTGTAATGTTTTCCCTATCATGCCTTCAACTGTCATTCCTTCCTTGTCATACCTTCCCTGCCATACCTTCCCTGTCATACCTTCATTGTCATGCCTTCCCTGTCATTCTTCCAGCTGTCATACCCTCCTTGTCATACCTTTTAAGCCATACATTCCCTGTCGTACCTTTCAAGCCATACTTTCCCTTTCATACCTTTTCTGTAATACCTTCCTTAGCTTAGCCTCCCTGTCAGTAGCGTACACAGGGGAAGTGCAATAGTCCTCTTGCCCCCCTTGAGCATCCGATGGGGGAGGGTGCCCCACTCTGGGATTTTTGGACAAAGATTAAAATCAGGTATGGTAAGAATAATAAGTTTGCCCCAACCAATCTGAAAAATGGATGTTTTCCCCTTATATAAAGAAAGATTACATTTAGTTCAAGTTGAACATTTCAAAACACAGACTATAAGATGAGTTCACATTCACAAGCTCTTATCAAAGATGTCCTTGGTGACATAGAAATCTACGAAATCTACGTCATTTTGAATACAGGGTGTCCCACGAAACATGACAGTTGGTAAATGTCTTCTTCCACATACTGTATTATATTTTAAAGACTATTTGCAGTCGATATTTAAAAAAAAAGTTTAACTCAAATATATTTTACTGTGAAATCAATTTCACTAATCTGTCATATAAAAAATGTTTTTAGTCTCTTTACTATTAAAAAATTCTTATCAAATTATGGAAGAAGACATTTTAAACGATTCATCAACAACTTTCATGTTTCGTGGGACACCGTGTACTTCGTACAATTTTATAATTAATAATATATCCTATTTTATTTTACCCACGTATACGTAAAAACAAATATGCTATCTGCTACAGCTGCTACATTCTACAATCAAAGCAAACATCTCTAATATAGTTTTGAAAAATACGAAATGCCATCAAATTCAATTACAGAAATAGTTGTTAGCAGGCCAAAGCCCCATAAAAAAACTAAATAACAAATTATAAAAATTGAAGAAATAATTTTCTAATCGTCTTTGTTTTCTCCTGACTCATAGTTATGATTCATTATAACAAGTTGCGGCATTCTCTTGATGTTTTGCGCTTACAGAGACAGAGGCAGAGAGGAGGAGACCGGATGTTTTATTCGGATGAAATTAGTTGTGAAGGATCTTTAGCTTTATAATTTTGCCGTAGTAAAATTAATAAACCCTCTTTTAAGTCATCTTAAAAAGTAGGTTTGATTTTTAAAACTTTTCGTGCACAAATAATTTAAAATTAGGTTGAATAAAATCATTTTTCGAGACTTAAAATTTTTTCTAGTAAAATGGCAAGCGATGTCTCAGCATCTTCTTAAAGAATAATTTGGAAGACAATAATGGCGACGCAGAAACCTGTGGAATGGGTTACGGCCCTCATTACAAGGTTCTCATTCTTTTACATTCTTTTAATATTTGGGTCTGTCCTAGTGAATAGCTGCATAACAGGGTATATTCCTAGTGAATGATTTTTGGACCCCCCCTCCTATCAATTTTGTATATGTATTTTAGTATTAATTTAGGGTTAGGTTAGGTTAAGACACTTTCTGGGCCGAGCGCTGCGGCCACGGGTTGGTTTGGCTAAGACAATTTCTGGGCCAAGCGCTGCGGCTAGGACAGGCTAGGGGTTCGAGCGCCGCGGCTAGGACAGGCTAGGGGGCCGAGCGCTGCGGCTAGGACAGGCTAGGGGGTCGAGCGCCGCGGCTAGGACAGGCTAGGGGGCCGAGCGCTGCGGCTAGGACAGGTTAGGGGGTCGAGCTCCGCGGCTAGGACAGGCTAGGGGGTCGAGCGCCGCGGCTAAGACAGGTTAGGGGGTCAAGCTCCGCGGCTAGGACAGGCTAGGGGTCGAGCGCCGCGGCTAGGACAGGCTACGGGGCCATGACCATTTTTATCTATGTGTTACATATGAGATCCATGAACAAAATTGATAGGAAGGGTAGGGGGTGTCCAAAAATCGTTCTTTCGGAATTTACCGCTTTAAAGTTAAATTGCTGAAAATAAATATTAAACTCTATTAATTAGATCTTTGCAGGGGTGTTTTTAAGTTTTGAGACTAATATTTTTGCTCCCCCCCTTTTCAGAATCATATTTTTCCCCCAAATCCACAATATTAAAAACATGTATGTTTGTACATTTTTCTGATACTCGCGCTGCGGCAGGTGGAGGGGGGGTAGAGCAAAGAATATGTTTGGATTTTAGTAGTATAATGGAGCGTTTTGTTACCTTAAAATGGTCAACTTTAAGGTCCTGAGTTTTTTTTAAAGCATTTCTGATACTTTTTTTTTAATTTAATCTTTTCCCTTCCCTTTAGCCCTTTTCCCTTCCTTCTTGCCGCTTTTCCTTTCCCTTTTGCCCCTTTTCCCTTCCATTGCCTCTTCCCATTTTTCCCTTAACTCTTCCCCTTTTTCTCTTCCCTCTTCCCCTTTCTCCCTCTTCCTATTTCCCCTTCCCTCTTGCCCTTTTCCCTCTTTTCTCTTCACCCTTTGCTCTTCAATTTTCCCTTCCCTTTTTCCTTTTACTCTTCCCTTTTCCTCTTCCCTTCCTCCTTTTTCCTTTTTTCTTAATTATTGCCCCCAAACCTAATAAAAGCTAATATACACCCCTGGATCTTTGTTTTTGCAGTACGTGGGCTACAAAATTATAGTGCTTTTGATTTGATTTAATTTTTTTCCAAATCTATTGTGTTCAGATTTTTATTCGTATTATTTTTAAGTTTCTGTAGGGTTATACTGGTCCATCCTAGTATGCGATTTTTGGAACCCCCCCCCCCTCTAATAATTTTGTACACGACCACGGCCAATTTTTAAAACTATTTTTGCTGAATTTGAGAAAATTAGTTTAAATTAATTTTAAGGTTTAATTTTACGCTTCCTCCAGAAAAAGGCAAATGTTTCGTACCGCATTCTTTGTACCCTAAAAAGGATTATTTTTCGCTTATTAGTCTTTTCCTTCTTTCAAATTTAGCAATTTTTTCTTTATCGCTTTTATAATTGAAATAAAAATAGCTTTATAGAGGGGGAGGGGAATGAATTTTAAGGTTTAAGAATTATAATTTACTAGCTCGGGAACCCAGCGCAGTCCAGGTTTCTCATATGTTACTTCCGTCATTCACTCGCACTTGATCGATTATAACGAAAAACTGAATTTGAGTTGACCTACTCAACTTAGAATCTCAAAACTAAGCTAGGAAAATTTCCTTGGGACTCCCGAATTCCCCAATCAAAATTTGAGGCAAATCGGTTCAGGGGTTCCCAAGTTATGAGCGGACAAACAAACAAACAGAGATTACAACTTTATATATAAAGATATATGTTCTGTTTAAAGGTTTGAGGACCAGTTACCCTGCAGGACGGGTCCTCAGCCACATCATTCAAGGATAAACGTCCAACAGAACAAAGATTGTCTCATTCAGATTTCTAAATTCAAGTTTTCTCTCGTCATATCAGGACTCACCAAGATTCTACAGGTTTTAGTATCTTTAATTTATTTTAAGTATGCAACATTGTTTATGGACAAAACCTGATTTATTTTAACAAAAAATTAAACTTTTTATCCTTTAAGTACAATGGTTCAACACTGGAGGGGGATGAAAAAAGTGAAAACACTTTAAAAAAATTAAATAATTATCTTTGTCGTTTTTTAGACTCATGGATACTTTTAGTTCTATGGACCTAGGGTGTTACTGTTAAAAGACTAAAATTGTCAATGTTTTTGGTTTTGTTGGCCATGGTTTTATACTCATCGCCACTAAAAAAAAGCACAAAAATCCTAATTGTTATTATCTTTACTGTTCAGCGCATCAATGAGCTCCGACCAACGCATACCGAGTTTGAGAGAGATTATTACGAGTCTCTCCTCATTGTTCTGGATACTCTAGAGAGATGTTTATCATCGCAGGTTAGTTTTAGATACTCTAGAGAGATGTTTATCATCATAGATTAGTTTAGATACTCTAGAGAGATGTTTATCATCTCAGGTTAGTTTTGGATACTCTAGAGTGATGTTTATCATCGCAGGTTAGTTTTGGATACTCTAGAGTGATGTTTATCATCTCAGGTTAGTTTTGGATACTCTAGAGAGATGTCTATCATCACAGGTTAGTTTTTAGAGTGATGTTTATCATCTCAGGTTAGTTTAGATACTCTAGAGAGATGTTTATCATCATAGGTTAGTTTTGGATACTCTTGAGTGATGTTTATCATCACAGGTTAGTTTTGGATACTCTAGAGATATGTTTATCATCACAGGTTAGTTTTGGATACTCTAGAGTGATGTTTATCATCACAGGTTAGTTTAGATACTCTAGAGAGATGTTCATCATCACAGGTTAGTTTTAGATACTCTAGAGAGATGTTTATCATCACAGGTTAGTTTTGATACTCTAGAGTGATGTTTATCATCACAGGTTAGTTTAGATACTCTAGAGAGATGTTTATCATCTCAGGTTAGTTTTGGATACTCTAGAGAGATGTTTATCATCACAGGTTAGTTTAGATACTCTAGAGAGATATTATCATCACTGGTTAGTTTTGGACAGGTTAGTTTAGATACTCTATAGAGATGTTTATCATCTCAGGTTAGTTTTGGATACTCTAGAGAGATATTATCACCATAGGTCAGTTTACTTTAATTTATTTAGTTTATATGGACCTGATTTGTTGTGAACAGCAGACCGTAAAAACAACTATCTTTTTTTTTGTTTCAAACATAAATTTGTAATTGCTTTTATCATCTATATAATAAAGCTCTTCGCTTTTTTATTTATATTTTTTTGAGGAAATACATGGGTACCCCAATATTTTTCTTTTAAAATTGCCAGTGAAATCCAGGGCTCTTGAGCTAGTTTCCATTATAATTGTTGTTATTATTAACTATCTATATTAGGCTGGTGATACGACTATAAGATATGATGAGGCAATGAACGTAAAGCTTCTTCTCAGAGAGATCTGCCAGTTCTTAGAGCCAGGTACATTAGACTGTTTTCTGATAGAAGAGGTAAATAAGGAACAAAAAAATTTCCTTTTCGCCCCAGATGTTTAAATGGTTTTATTCGCTGAGCGAGAGAAAATATGATTTTTTTTTGTAAAAAGTTGGAAAAGCTTGTCCGTTGAATGTTGATATCCAATATTTCAATTTTTTCCCTAGGTAATCGAAAATCAAATGCAAATATTTGTTTAGGACGAGAAGTTAGCACGAACAGTTATTCAGATACAGGAAGAGATCAACTGAAAAGTATAGCGTCGAAGGTTAGTATTAGCTATTCTATAAAATATGTATACACTTGCTGGTCTGTCTGATTACCGGGTTATGGCATCTCAGGGAAGGGTCATGGCTGGTCGAAGTACACAAATTTTGCCAGGAAAAAAATGTCGAGTTTTATTATTTTTGGAAATGCACCAATTTTAACAGAAAAATTCGCGACAATGTAAGGACGATTAAAAATGGCGACTTTCAGAGAAACAATAAAAGCCATAAATTCAAATGGCAAAAATTTGTCAAAAGACGTGTGGATTTGTGGACTGCGGAAAGAAATACCCTATGCTGTTAAAAAAAGCTTTAGATAAAATGAAAAAAGTTCACGTCAACTTGCACGTTAAAAAGATTATTTGTTAAGATTTTAAATCCGTTGTTTAATAATTTTTATAAAAATTGGGAATCTTAAGTTAATCTTTAGAAACCCCCATCCGTTAAAGTCATTTAACACTCTTTTTAATATATAATCTTAGGAATTAAATATTATTGGTTTAGGTTTTGTTTGCGCTCTCTGTTAATAACTTCAACGCCGTTTTCTCCAGAATATCTGGGAGACTACAGGTAATCAGCTAAATGTGCTTTTATTAAATCTTTTTTTAATCAATTTTATATACCTAAATTTCTGAAATATTGATTCATTGGTAGACAAATAAATTTATTATCATTATTTCTAATCCGTTCTTTAAAATGACATATAAGATCATGGATATATAATAGATGGATATATCATAGTCAAGGTTTGATGTAATTTTTTCGCTGGGGTGTTATGCAGTACGTTAGACATTGGACCCTGGAACTTACAATTTGTCTTTGGTTTTCGTTAAGTTAATAGATGTCAAAGGAGTATAGAAAAACATTGTAAGTCTTAAAAACTTGATAAGATTTATCCTCCTTCTTTGTATTATAAAAGTTGTTTTAAACAACTTGCTGATATTTAATATTTTGAATTTTAAACAAATTTCTCAATATCTTGGTCAATGTAAGGTACAAAAACGGCAGACCACATTTTGAAATTCTGAAAACAAGGCGCCTTTGATGCTACCAACTCTTTGAAGAAAATGCGATGATCTCAAGATTTTAGCAACAGTATCTCATTTCTGCTTACTCCAGGGCCCACTATCTACCAAAGTTCTTCTCTAATTTGGACCCTGAACATCACTTCAAACTTTTTCAAAAGTACAAATTATTTTTACAGAATGAACAATAGCCAGAATAAAAATTTGTTTTAGTAAAACCTAAAATTTGCTGTGCAGAGGTTTTATAAATTTACTAAAAATATCTAGGGTCCACTGAAATATAACAGCTGCGTAGCCCACCGACAAAGTTACATGTACACTAGCCCAAAATAGTATAGATCGGTAGATAGAACTTAGAAGCATACATATAAGCGGGCCGTGTATAAGATGTTGAGTTTAATCTGAAATTGATTATACTTAATTATCATGATGAATATTCCGTTTTAGGAACTGTCTGTAGCTAATGAAGAACAATCAGATCATACAGATATTGAACTCATTCAACATATCAATCTAGATATTACTAGGTAATAATATTCAACTTATAAATCTGGATATTACTAGATAATAATATTCAGCATATTAATGTAGATATTACTAGATAGTGATATTCAACATATCAATCTAGATATTACTAGGTAATAATATTCAACTTATAAATCTGGATATTACTAGATAATAATATTCAGCATATTAATGTAGATATTACTAGATAGTGATATTCAACATATCAATCTAGATATTACTAGGTAATAATATTCAACTTATAAATCTGGATATTACTAGATAATAATATTCAGCATATTAATGTAGATATTACTAGATAGTGATATTCAACATATTAATCTAGATATTACTAGGTAATAAATAATAATATTCAACATGTAAATCTAGATTATGCCAGTAGTAATATTCAACATATTGATCTAGATATTACTACGATTTATTATGATTTATATTATAATTGTTTGTTTAAGTTTCAACAAAAAAGATTTGACATTGAACAGTTCATATTCATATTTTTATTCAACTACAAAGCACGAGATAATACAAATTAATTGCCCTTTTTTGCAAAGACTTGATTTTCTGTAGTTTAGCATTTTTTACACCCCCCCATGTTATAATTCCATACTCAATATGTGGCCTTACAGTTTATAGGAAAGTTATGACGTAATAAGATTGTTATTAAATTATTAGGAACTTCTTTATTAAATAAATTGAATGACTTATTATTCATTAAATTATTATTCATAAATTCGTCCTAAAATTGATATTACAGAAAATATTTTTTTCTTAAAGTTGTTCAAACTTTATGCTACATAGAAATCCGTAAAAGCAATTTATATTTTAAAAATTCTAAGAAATCGACCTCCCTTACTGGTGTACCCCCTGGCATGTTTAGGGGAGACATGCCCCCTAACAAATTCTTTTAATTAGACCTTAATCTAGGGGGGGGGGAATGAAAAAAAAATTTAGCAGCGCTTACGCGCGCTAAAAATGTCACCCACTTGGTTAATTTTCCAGTACGCCCCACTGTTTTCCTACGGAATAATAGTTAAGCCTAGGATGCTTAGGGGGGGGGGGGATATGAACCCGTATTTTAAGCCTGAAGTTTTATGGTCTATTCTCTGTTAAGGCTGTTAAAACTGCTGGCTGAAGTGATTGCTAAGTTCAGAACCTTGAAGAAGAGCGCTCACCTGGTGTTGATGCAGAGCCTGGAGAAGGCAATCTGGAACTGGATGGATACTTATCCTCAGGAGTTCATTGATCTTCAGAAGAATAGCAATGAAGAACTCACTAAGGAACGTGGAATAATAATTATAATTGTAATGATAACAATAATGATAAGAATGATAAAAATGATAATAATGATAATAATAATAATAATGATAATAATGATAATAATGATAATAATGATAATAATGATAATAATGATAATAATGATAATAATGATATTAATGATATTAATGATAGTAATGATAGTAATGATAGTAATGATAGTGATGATAGTGATGATAATAATGATAATAATGATAATAATGTTACTAATGATGATACTAATGATGATACTAATGATTACTAATGATGATACTAATGATGATACTAATGATGATAATGATGATAATAATTATAATAATTATAATAATTATAATTATGATAATAATGATGATAATGGTAATAATGAAAATAATGATAATAATTATTATGATGATACTGATGATACGGATTATACGGATGATAATGATGATATTGATGATAATGATGATAATGATGATAATGATGATAATGATGTCTGTTCAATGTTAATTCGTCATGGTTTGAAAAGCATTGTTTTGGAAGTCAATTTCATCTTTGTGATGAATGTAATTTTTTTTAATGTAATTGATTCTGCTTTCCTGATTTGTGTCAAATATTTAATATTCCGTGCTTGTCTCCAGTGTTGTGAGAATTTCTTCGACCTGTTGGACAATTTTGCTGAAACAAAGAACAAACACAGACACGCAATCTGGCCGCTTCAGGGACTTGCATATTTTCATATAAGCTGTTATTCAACATCCCCCCTCCCTCGTTTTTGAATATTTCGGTGCATTTTATAATTTTGATTTGCTTAGAAACGATAACATATGAAAAGTCATGGAAAAGTTAATTTTTCAATTATTTAAAGCCTCCCAACGATTGAGTTTTAAAATCATATTCTCTCTGAGTTCAAAACTTTTAAATTGTTAACTCTGAATTAGGCAGGTATCCATACCTTGTGTAGTCCTAAGGATTAGATTAATTCCTCTTGAATATCTTGTTTATCCCGTGATCGGAAACACGCAGAGATAACTATAAACTAATGGATCAGACTCTTTTTTAAGTTTTAAAGTTGCCACAGTGGATGGATTTCGAAATCAAGTATTGTAAATTGGGAATATTTCACAAAGAAATTTTGACCTCTGAATATCTAATAGTGATCAAAAGCTTATAATTAAATATTTTTGTTTTCTCTCAGATGATGTTATTAATCCTCACTCCCACTATACTTGAAGAGATTAATAATGCAGATTCAGGTTAATAGACTTATCTGATCAATATTTTTATTATTAAATTGCTTAAGTTGTATTTGTCGCAATTATGTTAAAAACGGTATAGTTTGGGGTCAAAAATGTAACAATTTTTCAATTTTCCTCTTTAGAGTCCAACATTCTTGACGAATTTTCATCTACTAACTATATTTTACTAGACAAATCAGTAATGTAGGCTTTTCAGAATAATTCAAAAACTCGTGGTCAACTATAACGCTTCACGCCCCACATATGTTCTGAAAGTAAACTCACTTAATTAAAGCTTCTGCTAACTTGAACTTCTGTTCAGGAGCTCCATGCAGTCAGAGGCATTTGAAGAAAAAAGCATTTATTGACTCCATCAAGAAGTGCCTTCAAACCCATGGATCATCTAGCAAATCGATTATTGAAGCTGGGGCCATCACATGCGTCAAGCTGTGCAAGGCGGCGACCTACATCAACGTGTTGGACAGCAATAATGTGATCTTTAGCCTCGTCCAGACAGTGATCAATGATCTCAAGAATTTACTCTTTAAGGTGATCTTTGTTTAACTTAAGATTAATTATTCCCCGGCTAATTACTGAATAGGCGAGCGTTTTGAGTTTTTATCTGAGCCTTCGTATTCTTTTTGGAGTAAACCCGGAAATCCAAAATAAGATGGTTTATGCTTGAAAACAGACGCAAATCGCAGTAACATTTTTTTTTAAAGACGAAGTAGTTCTTATTATAATAAAGATAAACCTTTTTTTATAGGTGGATAAACCGTTTTCACGGGGCTGCTTGTACTTGAAAGAGGACGTAGATCTGATGATAGATTGCTTCCTAGCTAACTTTAGAATAAACCCACATAACAATGATACTTTAAAGGTAACAAAAATTATTAGAATAAATGATAAGTGTAAAACAACTAAAAGACAAAAATAAACTCAGAAAATGTAAATTTTAGTTCTGTTAGCTAGATCATATTTAAAAAAAGCTTATGCCACTTTTTAAAGATTTTATGAAATTTTTCTTTTAGGTTTGTCTGAACACGAATTCTCCCAGCTTGTACCACCATGTTCTTGTATCAGCTCTATACAGGAATTCAATCAAGCGATAATCTTAAATAATTTAGAAAACAATTCTAGATTTAAAGATAATTTTTTAATTATTCTTTGTTGTTGAAATATTTGGGCTTTATTAGAAAAAAAAAATCTTTCAACTTTTGCCTTAAAACGTGTTTATACTGTGTAAGGCGGGGTTTTTAAAATTGTGAGTTTGATTGATTGGTTTAGAATTATCACACAACCTCGGCTGGCCTGGTGGCCCCAGATAGATATGCTCTACAGTAAATCCGCAGAACTCAGGGATTTTACTTTAACAACAAATTAGAATAAATTTATTGTACTTAAAACAATTTCAAGAAATATTTTAGGATGGGAAAAAAGTCTGTTGAAAGTATTATTGTTCAGGGCAATGTTTACAGAGACTTTAACACGTGTCACCCAAGGATACATCAGCCATCAGCCCGTCAAGATGATCCCAAGCATAGATTTCAGCAAGAAGGTTGCCGTGAAGTTCAACAACAAGACAACCAGCGAGGAGAGCGGGTTCCAGAAACACCTCCTGCTCTGTATGGTCCGGTTAACACATGCGGATCCTATGCTCTTGTTGAATAGTCAGGGTAAACCTGGACATGAAATACAGAGCTCAACCCTTGAGCTGATCAATGGTCTTGTTTCTCTGGTTTATCAACCAGGAATGCCGGATGTAGCCCAAGAAGCAATGGATGCCCTGAGCAAGCTCCATGAGCCAGATAAGATTGAATTATGGAATCCAGAGGCGCCAATCAACACGTTCTGGGACATCTCCAGCCAGGTATTGTTCACCATGTCCCAGAAGTTAATACAGCATCAGATCCTTAACTACACCGACATCTTGAAGTGGATGAGGGAGATTCTGGTCTGTAGGAACCAGTTCCTTTTGCGTCATCGTGAATACGCAAATGTTGGTTGCGGGATTGCCATTTGTCGTCAGGCACATATCAAGCTTGAGGTCGTCTTTTTTATGTATCTTTGGTCTATAGACATGGAAGCAGTTGCTGTAGCAATGTCCTGCTTCTCTCTACTTTGTGAAGAAGCTGATATTAGAGCAGTAAGTGACATGACCGGCCCGTACCAGCTGCCCAACTACCATGTGTACCAGGAGCTGGCTCAGGCGAGCACAATCCTTACTACAGGACGTGCTGCTCTGCAGAAGCGTGTGATGTCAATGCTGAGAAAGATTGAGTTGTCTACTATAGGAGTCTGTCAGGCCTGGGATGATACCTTCATGAACTGGGAAGGATCAACCAAGCATTTATCCCAGTATCCTAAAACTAAAGATGAATCTGTTGGAATTCAAGGAGAAGGATTTCATAGAATGGGCAAAAGACGTGCTAGCCATCATTCTACAGACCATGAGCTGGAGGACCAGGTGGCAGAGTGGGCGAATATGACAGGATTTCTGGTTGCTCTTGGTGGAGTTTGCCTTCAGAGGAAATCGCCTGCCTCTGCTAGGCAAGATCTGGGAAGAGGGCGGGGAATATCTGCCCTCCCCCACTCAGCTGGGCAGGATATGCAATATTGTCCTGTAACTCAGTTTCTTGGTCATCTCTTAAGACTTCTTGTTTGTCCAAATGAAAAGTTTGGAACCCAGATTCAGAAACATGTCAAAGAACTTGTCGGGCATGATATGAGTCCTGCGCTCTATCCAATTCTCTTTGATCAAATCAAGATAATTGTGGAAAAATTCTTTGATCAAATGGGACAAGTTATTGTGAACGACACAAACACACAGTTCATTGAACACATTATCTTCATCATGAAGAACGTGTTGGAGCCTGGTAGCTCAGGTAAAGGTGGAGAGCAGGGTCAGCAGCCTGGGCAGGAGCATACAGAGAATCTAGGACAGACCAGTATTGAACTAATGATGCTGGCAATAGTTAGATATGTCAGACATCTAGATACTACAGTTCTAGCTCTTCATATTAAAACAAGACTTTGCCAACTAGTGGAGGCCATGATGAAGAGGAGGGATGATCTAGCATTCAGGCAGGAGATGAGGTTCAGGAACAAGCTGGTGGAGTACCTCACTGACTGGTGTATGGGCAACTCCCATCAGATAGCTCCTCCTGCCGCTGGAGATGTGACAGCTATTACCAGGGATCTTGATGAAGCATGTATGCATGCTGTTGCAGCTCTTCTACAAGGGCTTCCTCTTCAATCTGAAGAGTCAGATAGAGGGGATCTGATGGAAGCAAAGAGTCAGTTGTTCTTAAAATACTTTACCCTGTTCATGAACCTACTGAATGACTGTGGTGAAGCTGGAGGAACTGTTATATCTGGACATGAAGGGAAGGAGGAGGGAGCTGGTAATATTCAACTAGGAGCTAGACCTAGACATTCAAACACAGGAAATAATAATAGTCTAAGGAATGCAACCATCCAGGCAATGTCAAACCTGCTCTCAGCTAATATTGACTCCGGGTTGATGCATAGTATAGGACTAGGATATCACAAAGATCTGCAGACTAGAGCAGCATTTATGGAAGTTCTAACAAAGATATTGCAACAAGGAACCGAATTTGATACCCTGGCAGAGACTGTTCTGGCAGACAGGTTTGAACAACTGGTTCAGTTGGTAACCATGATTGGGGACAAGGGTGAGCTGCCAATAGCAATTGCCCTTTCAAATGTTGTTACTTCAAATCAGATGGACGAACTCGCCAGAGTTTTTGTAACACTCTTCGACGCCAAGCATTTACTCTCTCCCCTGCTTTGGAATATGTTCTACAGAGAGGTTGAGGTCTCAGACTGTATGCAGACTCTTTTCAGAGGAAATTCTCTTGGGAGCAAGATCATGGCGTTCTGTTTCAAAATATACGGAGCAACATTTCTCCAGGGTTTGTTAGAACCCTTGATACAGGAGATGATAGATAATGCTGATGGAGTCAGTTTTGAAGTAGATCCTGCCAGAATGGAACCTTTTGAAACTCTTGAGGATAATCAACAGAACCTAGCAGAGATCACTCAGAAGGTGTTCAACGCCATAGTATCATCAGCAGATAGGTTTCCGTCCCAGCTTCGCTCCATGTGTCACTGTCTCTATCAGGTTCTTTGTAAGAGGTTTCCACAGTCAATTCAGAACAATATCGGAGCTGTAGGAACTGTTCTATTCCTCAGGTTTATTAATCCTGCAATAGTTTCTCCATATGAGATGGGGATTGTAGAGAAACAACCCCCTGCACACATCAAGAGAGGTCTTATGCTCATGTCTAAGATCCTTCAGAATATTGCGAACTACGTCGAGTTCTCCAAAGAACAGCACATGCTTTACTGCAATGAGTTTGTCCAGAGAAACTTTGATGCTGGACGAAGATTCTTCGTGCAGATTGCGTCGGACTGCGAGTCTATTGATCATACGCAATCCCACTCCATGTCCTTTATCAGTGACGCAAATGTACTAGCTCTGCACCGTCTGCTGTGGAACCATCAGGAGAAGATTGGAGACTATCTGTCCTCTAGTAGGGATCACAAGGCTATGGGTCGAAGACCGTTTGACAAGATGGCAACACTCCTGGCTTATCTAGGTCCTCCAGAACATAGGGCTGTGGACACACAGTTCCTCTTCTCAAACTTTACGAGGTAAAAATTTTCATTTGTTTTTAGGCGAAAAATTGATTTTCAATCTACCCCATTTCCATTTTTCTTACTTGATCTATTATTTCTGTAACATTAGTAAAAAAAAAATGTTATAATGAATATGAATTCAATTTAGCCTGTTTTCTAATTTTAATTTTCTTAATTTGGACCTATAAAACTGGAGAATAGAAAGACAACAAAAAGACAACCCTAAAAAATTCCCAGATTATGTGACACAATTTTTCATAAGAACTAAGATGAGAATGTAATAAGTTAATGTAGAAATACTATAATACTAAAATAGAAATACTGGTGCTGAGCTCCCTGGGAAATATTATATTAATAATTTTACGTTTTAACTGTAATCTTAAAGTCGCCGTTTTTAATCGTTCTACAATTTTTGCGGATTTTTCTGTTTAAATACAGTGTCAAAAATAATAAATGTTGACATTTTTTCGGGCAATTTTTATCTTATTCTTTCTTAGAAATCAAAATTAAAGGGCTAGAAATGTGGCTGCTGTCCTATTTTTCATGGGGGGCACAGCGTGGTTAAAGTGGACATTGGTCTCCCCACATTGACAAAAAGGGGTCTTAGTTTGCATTTTTCAAAATAAAAGATATTTAAATAAAAAATCATTATTTTTGTATAACTTAACATTTCTGTTCTATACATTTTTCCCTAGGTTTTAAGTTTTAAAACCTTTAGTAATATTCCAAAGAATGATCTTGAAGGACAAATCCACTTATTTTACCTGGTTTAAACTTTTTTAAATCACTACTTTTTAGATATTGGCATATAGATATGTTTTATTTGTTTATAATAAAGATGACCTATTTTTTATGAATGTCGTCTTGCGTCTTACGTCTTCTACAAAATACCGAGTTATTGTATGACTTTCAACAAATTAAGAAAAAATGTTTTTTAAAAAGAAGATTTAACTTTTTTGTTAAACATTTTTATAGCTTAACTAATCATTTTTTATCAGAATAAATCAAAATCCCCCTTTTGGTGACAACAATAGGGGGATGGGGGGAGGGGGGGTATTTGCTATCTATGCTAGAACGCCAAATATTTATCTTATGAGATCAAAAAAGGTAATTTAGACAACATTTTGTTGGTAAACATAGAGAAAAGATGACAAACTGCGTTATCTTAACCATTAAATATACTTTAGAACAAGTATAGTTTTATTCTTGTTCTAATAAAAATGTGACGAAAATAAAAAAAATGAATGTCAAATAATTTTGTTTTAAAATACAGTATTTGATGATAATTTAAAAACAAATTGAATATTTTCAAGAATTTAACATTTTTTGTCTAAACTTTTTCTTATAAAATAAACATCTGAAGAATTAAGTATTGAAAATATTTATATTAAGGTGGCCATCACGTTTATGTTCTAAATCTGAATTTTTTAAACCTACATTTTCCATGTTTTCATAATGTGTGATTTTATAGATTTTTCAAAATCAACCAGAGACAAAGCAATAACTTATTTTCTTGATGAAAAATCACCGAGGAATAAAAAATTTATTTCAAACTTCGGAGTGATGTGGGGGGGTGGGGTGCGAGATACAGAAGTCGGTTTGTTACATAAAAGATTTTTGTTTGTTCATGAATTATTTTAATTTTAAGATTGTTTAGCCAAGTTTTCATTAAGAAACTAGACTTCATAATGTCATACAACATTTGAATTTTCTTTTAGGTGGTCATCCATGGATATGACAAGCACCAAGTTTGAGGAGATCATGTCCAAGCACAACATGCATGAGAAGGATGAGTTCAAGTCCATCAAATCTTTAAATATCTTCTACCAAGCAGGAACCTCAAGGTGTGGCAATCCTGTCTTCTACTATATTGCTCGACGATACAAGATCGGAGAGACAAATGGTGATCTTCTAATCTACCATGTCATCCTCACCCTCAAACCATTTTGTCATAAACCGTTTGAGGTGGTGGTGGACTTCACCCACACCTGCTCCGACAACAGGTTCAGGACGGAGTTTCTACAGAAATGGTTTGTTGTACTGCCCCAGGTTGCATACGAGAACATTCATCAGGTCTACTTGTACAACTGCAATTCCTGGGTCAGGGAGTACACCAAGTTTCATGATCGTATTCTAATGCCGCTGAAGAGTAACAGAAAATTGATATTCATTGATGCTCCGAGTAGGTTAAACGACTTTATAACTCCAGATCAGCAGAAGCTTCCCGGAGGAACACTTTCTTTAGATGAGGATCTTAAAGTATTCAACAACGCACTAAAGCTTAGTCATAAAGATACCAAAGTTAACATTAAGGTTGGTCCCACCGCTATTCAGATTACATGCGCAGAGAAAACCAAAGTTCTCAGTCACACTGTACTTCTCAACGATGTGTATTATGCTAGTGAGATAGAGGAGGTGTGCCTGGTCGATGATAATCAGTTTACCCTCACTATAGCTAATGAGTCGGGTCCTCTCTCATTTATCCACAATGATTGTGACTCAATAGTACAATCCATCATTCATATCAGAACTAGATGGGAGCTGAGTCAACCAGACAGTGTTACAGTTCATCAGAAGATTAGACCCAAGGATGTACCAGGTACGCTTCTTAACATGGCTCTGCTGAACCTGGGGAGCAGTGATCCTAATCTGAGGACTGCAGCTTACAATCTTCTCTGCGCTCTCACCTCAACATTTGATCTCAAGATAGAAGGCCACCTGCTGGAGACCAACGGGCTCTGTATCCCAAGTAACAACACAATCTTTATCAAGTCAGTTAGTGAGACATTGGCTAGGAATGAACCCCATTTAACCTTAGAGTTCTTAGAGGAATGTATTCAAGGTTTCTCAGCCTCTAGTATTGAGCTAAAGCATTTGTGTCTGGAGTATATGACTCCATGGCTCCCCAACCTAACTAGGTTCTGTAACTGTAAGCATCCTGCTGATGATACCAAGCGACAGAAAGTTGCTCATATCCTTGACAAACTAATTACCTTGAGTATAGAGGAGGTGGAGATGTATCCATCTATCCAGGCCAAGATCTGGGGTAACATAGGACAAGTGTCAGAGCTTATTGATATGGTTCTTGACAGCTTTATTAAGAGAAGTGTGACTGGTGGTTTAGGGAGTGCCCAGGCTGAGGTTATGGCAGAGACTAGTGTGAGTTTATCTGCTGCTAATGTTGCTCTAGTAGCCAGGAAGGTTATCTGGAGGCTGTGTAGGGTAATAGATAAAACTTGTATCTCTCCAACCAGTCAGCTGGAGCAGCATATCATGTGGGACGACATTGCAAACCTTGCTAGATACCTTCTTATGCTCTCCTTTAACAACAGTCTAGATGTGTCCAGACATCTACCCTATCTGTTCCATATTGTTACATTCCTAGTGTGTGCTGGACCTGTATCTATGAGAGCATCAACACATGGTCTAGTAATTAACATTATCCACTCCTTGTGCACCTGTACCAAACCTGTATTCGCAGAGGAGGCTCTTAGAGTCCTTCGTCTGTCCCTTGATGAATTCTCCTTGCCAAAGTTTTACCAGTTGTTTGGAATCTCTAATGTTCATAGCGCAGCTACAACAGCATTCAGGTCAGCTCATCGGGCTGCTGGAGAGCGCTGGAGTGCTGTGGACCGATCCTTCTTATCTAATAACGACAAGGAGAGACTGTCTCTCTCCTCTTTGGAGGCGATTACTGACGCTCTACTTGAGATCATGGAGGCCTGCTCTCCAAGCCTACCAGAGTGTAACTGGTTGCACACCTGGACTCTTCTTGCCAGAAGCTTTGCTTTTCGATACAATCCAGCCCTACAGCCCAGGGGTCTTATTGTCTTTGGTTGCATCTCTAAATCTACCTCGGATCAGGATATTAAACAATTACTTAGAATTCTAGTCAAAGCATTGGAAAGCTTCACTGATATAACATTGATAGACGCGATTGTAATGTGCTTGACCCGTCTCCAGCCCCTGCTAAGACCAGAGTCACCTATCCATAAAGCACTGTTCTGGGTTGCAATCTCTATTCTGCAGCTTGATGAGATAATCCTGTATGCCAGTGGACTCTCTCTTTTAGAGCAAAATCTCCATACCCTTGACTCCCAGAACATATTCGAAACTGAATCCTTGGACACCATCATGTTGGCGACCAGGGAACCTCTAGAATGGCATTTTAAGCCGTTGGATAACAGTGTAGGACTCTCCTTCAGAGGTAACTTTCACTTCGCTCTGGTGGGACATCTGCTCAAGGGGTTCAGACATCCCTATCCTGCAACTGTAACAAGAACAACGAGAGTTCTCTGCATGCTTCTCAGTATTGTTGCCAAACCGTACAAGAGGGATAAGTTCGACGTTACCCCGCACAACGTGGCCTACCTCTCCGCCCTGGTGTCCGTATCTGAGGAGGTGAGGTCAAGGTGTCATGTGAAACATCAGGTTACTCACATGAATAGTTCGGAGACCCTGGCCGAGAACTTTGCGGTGGATAACCATCTCAGGATGAACTTTGTATCACCATCTAGTCCTGTACAGCCGGAGCCGAGTAACCAGCATAGGTAGGACAATTATTAATTCAATTTCGATTAACAATGGTATCCTTTCAACCATTATTTAATCAAAATATTTTATCGAATTTAGATATCTGTTTTTACAGATTTTGAAGTGTTTAATTTTTACAATTTTGCGCTCTGTTTTTTTTCAGCAAGAAATCCGCAGGTCACTGTAATAGAGAACCCACAATTGAAAAAAAAATCAAAGAGAAATCATGAATATCTTATTCATTCTTATTCAGACAAAGCTTTTAAGGTTGTCGTTGTGAATCGGACATGCCACTCAATGGAGCGTCACTTGAAATTACTCGTTTATTCCAGCATTTTCTGATGTTTCATTATAAAAGTAATTACTCATGACAGCGTATTATTTTCCCTAAAAATTGCAGTAACGAAAATCTTTTTCCTATACGTTTTTTCCAACTATTGAAATTTTGCAGATTCAATATTTTTTTTTGGTCTGAGAATGATATAAAATATTTATTATTTAAAATTAAGATTATTTTAGGATTTTTTATTTTAGGGATATTCTTGTAAATCAGAGGCAGAAATCAGTTGAAGTTATGGATGCGGCAACTGTTGCGCAGGCGCGCACCCTTCGTCTACAGCAGACAGGAAACTATGGATATCAACGTCTTAAAGAGAGATCTATGTCAGTTCCTGCCAGGTTAGCAACAATTGATCTATTCAAAAATACTTTTTTATAAACGTTTCGATTTTCTCGATTGATAGAAAGTGCATTATTATAAATCTTTCCTGCGTTTTAGGACGATATAAAATCTTTTTTTCATCCAAAGAAACTAAATATCTGTTAAATTGATTTTATATCGTCTCGTACTTTGTTCCAAATATTTGTATCTACACTCTGTACTCTGTAGTCTGTAGGAACAAGGAAAGTAAATGACGAAATCCACATCGATCTTTGATAGTCAATAAGTGACATAGTTTATATCAAATATAGTATGAAAGATTGACCGTTTAATGCCAAATAGAATTTTGGACGATGGAAAAGTTCAAAATTTTTCCTTAAACAATTAGTTTAAATTCGAATATTTAGACCGGCAAGTCGGGCCAGCACTGTAACTATCCTGACCAACCTCACTAACTATATATTTAGACCTGCTAGTCAGGCCAGTACTGTAACTATCCTGACCAACCTCACTAACTATATATTTAGACCTGCTAGTCAGGCCAGTACTGTAACTATCCTGACCAACCTCACTAACTATATATTTAGACCTGCTAGTCAGGCCAGCACTGTAACTATCCTGACCAACCTCACCAACGATGAAACAGATTCAAACTTTGGAGGAGAGTCCCCCAGGTAAAGATGGAGAAATCAGGGGAAAGGATTGATTATTTGCATCAAACTCTAATTTCCTTATCCCTGTATTTTTGCAACCTGATGGAGTAAACCTTAGATACTTTGACAATTTGATTGAGAAGAATCCATAGTTTGAGATTTCAAAGGTTAACTACATCAGGTTGCAAAGATATAAGGACTTGGAGTGTAGGCGAGTAATCCGTCCCTTGTACACTGAATAAAGTAAACAAAAATAACTCTGAATAAACAAGGTTTTATAAACAATTTACTGGATACGATCGGACTTTTTTTACCGACAAATCTTACTTTGAAAGTTGCTTCACAAGTTTCTGTCAACTTTTCTTATTTCTAGAGTTATTTTTTTCCTGGTTCCGCTAATTGACGATCATCAAAGTCTGTAAAATTAAAGAGGCTCTAAACGTAATTTCCAGTGAACTTTCAGACAAAGTTGACAATGCCCGATTTACAACTGCACCCTTGAAACCTTTTCTAATCAATAATGTCAAAAATATTTAGTTTTTTCTAGGTTTAAAAGTGTTTAATTCGGATATTTCCCATTCGTTTTCCTGCGGTAGAAATTCGCAATTCAATTTTGTAAAGAAACCACAATTGAAAATAATCAGTTTTCAAAACTATAAACATTAAAATCTACTTGATCATACTTGATCAGATAAAGATTAAGGGATCTGTTGTGAATGGCCACATTTGCTTTAAAATACCACTTACTGTCCCTTTAAGAACTGACCGGGTCAAATTAGACAAAAATATAAAGTTTGAATTGAAAAGTTTTATTTTTGAGATAGATTTTATTTCAACAGCAACAGCAAACTTAAGTTAATTGTTCAGAGTGGAAGAGAAGGACCTCCCTGGAGGACTAAGAGAAGGTGAGGCTAGGTTCTATCTCGAGGATGGAGCCCAGGAGGACCGAGGACAAGATTATAGAAATCTTGAGGAAAGAGGTCAATCATCAAGAGAAGACATGGATAAGCTGATAGATCGACAGGTCTGTCTACAAGGGAAATGATAACTTTGAACACTCATGGTGGAATTCAATTTTTTTAGTTTGAATAAAGAATAGTGAGGCTAGAGGTAGTGTATTTAATGATTATATATATACAGGGTGGCCAAAATGTACGGATTGTACGGATTG